CAATCAACCTGAGTCTCCTAGTCTTCTTAAAAATACAACACAATGCAGAACAAAGGAGCCTGTTTGGGACGAACTGTTACAGCAGGGTGAAGCAGATGGTTACAAAAACTTGGATAATAAGTAGAAAACAACAGACCGAGAATTGCTAGATAATATTAAAGTAGCAAGGTTGGAGAAGGAAATCTCTTTCAAGGGGAAGGAGAAGATGCAGACGAGGTCAGACATGGATGAAGTGCAGAAGAAGATCCAGTCAGGAGATGGCAGGACCGGTTGCATGTTTCCCAGAAAAGAGTCATAACAGTATTTGTTTTTGTTGTGGTATTATACTGTATTGCCCACTTACAGGGTCATCCTGTTTGTGAAGCAGACCGCTGATTCACATTGAGGTCCAGCATACTGGAACTTCTAATTTCAACTGCTGAAATGAATAAAAATTTTTAAAAGGTAGTCATTGTCCTGTACTTCCCAAGAGAAAGAAAAAACCAAAGAACACTAACAGAGATCAGGTTGCCCAGGTGTTTGGCCTGGTCTATCAGAGATCCTGAGGGCAGCTGTGGATCATCCAGCAGGGGGCAGTCTTGTAGCTATTGGAATATTAATGTGAGTGAATGTTAGATAACCAGCATTTATACAGAAATAAAAGCTTAGAAAAAGTGCGTGTGTGAATGGGTGAATTAGGCAAGTTGTCCAGGTGTCTTCCCTGCTCACCCTGATACGAAGAAACCTGAGTAGTCTCGCGGGTCAAATCGCATCAGTCACACCTGGCAGCTCCCCTGTTGATCATGGCACTTGGTTTTTTATCTGACTTGGTTTCAGAGGCTGGACAGCAGGCCATCAAAGATAGATATTACTTGGAAACGCTAAAGCAACTTATTTGGATTAAAATAGATTAATATTCATATGTATAATGTTTCATAAAAGGTTAAAAAAGGAATGTTCATTATTTAGACTTTTTTGTCTAGAAGATTGTATTAAAGCAACTTAGAGAAAAACAAAAGCAAAACTGATTTTAGAAAAGAATGACATAATCACATCAATTCTACTTATTTATTTAATCCACTATTTAATCTCCACTCTTTTGAGGGAGAGAGATTGGTGGTGATATGGAGAAAATGTTTTCTACCTCAGTGCTCTGTGCAAATAATCTGGAAAGCAGGATTCCTTGATAGATCGCACATCTTCTCAAACTTATACTTTTCCACAGGGAAAACCTTCAAAATATCCCCTCTGGATTGTGACAAATTAATGTTCAGATTTTTACCCTTACTGTTTCATAAATGGTTGAGAGAAAATAAGAATTTTTTTTCACAAATGAAATTTTAATTGCAGCAATTTTTTTAAAGCAATGTAGCAGGACAAAAGCAAAAGAAGAATGAAACGATAATAAGAATCAAATAATAATCAAATCACTTCAATTACAATTGTCTAACTAATCTACT